GACACATGGAGTGATTGCCACCTGCACGACTCCAACCAGGGCCGGGGACAAACTGCAACCAAGGTATGTACCCTTAGTGGGAACCGAACCTGGGTCTCTCTGGACCGCAGGCCGACGCTCTAATCGCTGAGCCAAACCGGCCAGGGCTCCCATTTGTTTTTAAGGCAATTTTTAAAAAATCACATGTAGTCATTAGCAGTGCATGATGCACAATTAGGTGCGAAGTTGGTTTTGCATATAAAAAGAAACTAATTTAGTTATTATTTAAACCACTAAATTTGAGGCAGAAGCCTTTTGCTAGTTGCTAAAAAGCTTTAGGGAAAATACCATTTCTAATATTTGACTTAATATGGCTGCTCTGTTAGAAAAAAGGATAAGATATTAAATATTAAAGATGACCAGATGGTAGATATTGAAGCCACAAAAAACAAAACCAAGAAGGGTAAACTCACAGACACAAATGTAACCCAAAGCATTGGTAAAGTTGAAGCTGTTTTTCTTTTGCATTATGAATCTATTTGCAAATGACAATAGCAGAGCTCCAAAGAGGCAATCTTATACATCAAACTGTCATTAAAATATGTGGCTCTTTCCTGCAGTGTCATGTTACTAATGAAATTTTTATTTTCCAGTAATACTGGAGGTAGTAATTAGAAGGTGTATTATTTTTGGCTAACTATAATGGATACAACCACAGCCAAAGGTTAATTGCTATGCTACAAACACGGCAGCAATTAGGTTTCAGAGCAGGCTCTGGAGCGACAGGTAATGTACTTCAAGTGAAAGTTTTTAACTAAAGGATATCCTCTATGTTGTGTTCATAGACTCCCCTAAATTTATTAAATGAGCCATAAAATTTACACATCACTTGGAGGGACTGGAGTCATGGGTAGAGCTTTCAAGGGCTTAGGCAAAGAGGAGTGTGGGAGAGGACCTTAGGAGGGAAGAAACCCAAGTTCCTCTCTTGCCCTCTTCCTTTTCATGCCTCTGCTCAGCTCAGCTTCCTCCAGCTGTGTGCTCCCCAAGCTACTAATGCCTGGCCATTAGGTCAGTGCTCACAAGCAGGTCTACCCACAAATGTCTGCAGACTCCAGGCAAGGGTATGACGGAGGACACCATACCATATGTCTACACAGTTAAAAGTCATAAATCGAGTGAATAAATAAAATATGTCCTGTCCTACCTTTATCCCAAGATAAAATTTTCAAATGTTTAAAGCTATATTTTAGTGAGTACAAACTATCAAAGATGAATAAATTGAATTATTATTATGTGGTCACATAGCCTATTGATAAGCTGGAGATCTTTGGATAAGCAATAAAATAAAAACTTACACAATTTAAAAATTATATATATGTATACTCTGTAAGATTTATTTTCTTCCTTTTGTTTCAGCAAAATCCCTTTATAATGTTGTTATAATCAAGATTTCAATATAATCAGTGTTCTAGTAATAATATTGCCAAATCATATAACTTTCTTGAGTTATTGTAACTCTTGAAATTTTTAACTTAATTCTAACTTGGAAGAACTTTGTTCTGCTAAGACAGTAGCAACTGGAATTGTCAATCAAATTCTTAAAGTAACATTTATTTTAGAAATGAAGAATTGGCATGTAAAGAGTGTAGAAGTAAAGAGCTGAATAAACTGAGAAGCAAAACTTCTTAGATCTATCAGAGATTTAAGCAGCAAATTACTGCTCTCAAATTGGAGGTACAGACAGATAGATACAAAGAATCAAACTTGCTGGAAAAGAAAGCCATGAGCAGAAACCTCCAGAGAAACCAGTGGGAAGTATAAAAAATCTGAACTGCAACTGATAAATTTCTGGGGCTGTGTGGACAAGTCTGAGAGTTAAAAACTCCATGGGAACTCAGTCTTCAGGGACCACCCACACTTTTGTGAGTTTACCTTCCTGAAAGACCAGGAAGGAAGTCCTAGCTAATGAAATAAGACAAGAAAAGGGAATTAAAGGTATACAGGTTGGGAAGGAAGGAATACAATTGTTTTTGTTTGCAGATGACCTGATTGCCTATGTAGAAAATCTGAATAAATCCACTAAAACAACTCCTGGAATTAATGTGATTATAGCAAGATTGTAGAATTAAGGTTAACTTAAAAGTTAATCACTTTCCTATGTACCAGTAATGAACAGTGAAATTTGAAATAAAAAACATAATACCAATTGGCGGAAAAACAAAACAAAACACCACCACAGTACCATTTACATTAACATTCTCCAAAATGAAATTCTTAGGTATAAATCTAACAAAATGTATATAGATACACATGAGTAAAACTACAAAATTCTGTTGAAAGAAATCAAAGAGGAACTAAAAACATGGTGAGATATTCAATTTTCGTGGATAGGAAGAATCAATATTGCCAATATCAGTGCTTCCCAATTTGGTATATAGATTTAATGCAATCCCAATCAAAATTCCAGCAAGTTATTTTGTGGATATTGACAAACTGAATCCGATTTTTTACAGAGAAGATAAAGACCCAGAACAGCCAACACAATATTGAAAAACAAATTTAGAGAATGATACTACCTGATTTAAAAACTCACTGTAAAGTTACATTAATTAAGTAACTGTGTTATTAGCAAAAGAAAAAACAAATAGATCAATGGAACAGAATAGAGAGCCCAGAAATAGACCCATATAAATAAAGTCAACTCCTCTTTGACAAAGGAGCAAAGGCAATATTGTCTTTTCAACAAACAGCACGGAAACAACGGGGCATCCATGTACAAAAAAATGAATCTGGTTACAAATCTTACACACTTCATAAAAATTAACTCAAAATTGATCATAGGCTTGAATGCAAAACATAAAACTCCTGGAAGGTAAAATAGAAGAAAATCTAGAAGTCCTTGGGTTTGGTCATTAGTTTTTAATAATACATAAGGCACAACCAATGGAAAAAAAATTGATAAGCAGGACTTCATTAAAATATAAAACCTCTGCTCTGCAAAAGATAATGTCAAGAATATTAGGAGATTAAACCACAGACTGAGAGAAAATATTTGCAAAAGATATATCTGATAAAAGATTGCTACCAAAATATACAAAGGACTCTTAAAACTCAACCATGAGAAAACAAGCAACCTAATTAAAAAATAAGCCAAAGACCTTAACAGGCACCTCATCAAAGAAGACATACACATGGTAAATAATCACATGAAAGGGTACTTACATCATATGTCATCAGGAAAATGCAAATTAAAACAACAATGAGATACTACTACACACCTATTAGAATAGCCAAAATCTGGAACACTGACAACACCAAATGCTGACAAGGATGGGAAGCAACCAAAACTCTCAAACATTGCTGGTGGGAATGCAAAACAGTATAGCCACTTTGGAAGACAGTTCATCAGTTTCTTATAAAACTAAACATACCAATATGATCCAGCAATTGTGCTCCTTGGTATTGACCAAAAAAAGTTGAACACTTATGTTCACATGAAACCTGCACACAGATGTTTATAGCACTTTTATTCATAACTGCCAAAACCTGGAATCAACCAAGATGTCCTTCAGTGGGTGAATGGATAAATAAACAGTGGTACATCCCAACAATGGAATAGTTTTCAGCACTAAAAAGAAATTAGCCATCAAGGCAAAGAAGACATGGAAGAATATTGCTAAGTGAAAGAAGCCAATCTGTGTGATTGGCTACATCTCTATGATTCCAACTATATGCCATTCTGGAAAAACAAAGCTAGGGAAATAGTAAAAAGCTCTGTTTGTCAGACATTAGGAGGGAAGGAGGGGTGACTAAGTTGAGCACATGAGATTGTGTGTTTTGTAGTTGGTACTAAAAACTAGGTTAACTTCTAAAGCAGTTCAACTTTCTATTATGATTTTGAATCAATAAAACCACAGGACCTGCCAGGGCTGGAATTCCCATTACCACCTGTACCTCAAATTGATGACCAGACTCCCTGAATTAACAAAAGCTTTTTTTTTTTTTTTTTTTTTTAGTACAGTTATCCAATAAGTTAGTCAGTTTCCAACTAAGGTCACTGGGGCAATTGATTTACAGAGCAAATTTGCCCTATTTAAAAGTCCTGGATCCTGAGATGCAGAAGCAACCCAAGTGTCCATCAATAGGAGTGGATAAAAAAGTGTGGTACATATATAGAATGGAGTATTACTCAGCCATAAAAAGGGATGAAATCGTACCATTTGTAACAGCATGGATGGACCTAGAGGGTATTATGCTAAGTGAAATAAGTCAGATAAAGTCTGATACCATATGATTTCACTTATATTCAGAATCTAAAGAACAAAATAAACTAATGAACATAGACACAGAGAACAGACTGGTGGTTTGCCAGAGGGGAGGGGGGTTGAGAGACTGGGTGAAAAAAGTGAAGACATTAAAATGTATAAATTAGCAGTTACAAAATAGTCATGGGGATGTAAAGTGCAGCACAGGAAATACAGTCAACAATATTGTAATAAGTACTATAATGCTAGGTGGGTACTGGAAATACTGGGGAAGATCACTTTGTAAAGTATATGGTTGTCTACTCACTATGCTAAAATTAACATAAATAATATTGAATGTCAAATGTAATTGGGAAAAAAAAAAAAAAAAAGCTTGGCTCCTGAAATCCAAAATGAAGTGGAGTGGGTCCTTTTCAAGGAAGTTTTTTGGGGGGATCACCAAGAGCTTAAACAAATTCTCCTAGGACGAAGCCCTCTGGACGAGACAGCGGGATACGGCACAGCCCTGTGTTTCAGGCACCATAACAGACGGCAAAGTGGAGGGGACTTCCAGCCCCTGAGCCGGACCGGCACCCCGACACCGTTCACCCGCCCAGCCCGGGGGCCCAGAGCCAGGCCTGGCCGGCGCAGCCTGGGCGGAGCTCGGGCGGAGGGCCAGGCCGGCACCGCCGCCGCCCCACGAGCCCGGACCTGCCCGCCGGACCTGGCGGCGCAGTCTCGCGGGATCGCTCAGCTCTCGCTCCCCGTGCGGCTCCCCAGGCTGCCGGAGTCCCCGACGTCCCCAGAGCCGTCTCGGGTCGCGGCTGTTTGGCGGGCTGGCCCGGACGGGGAGGGAGAACTGCCTTCGACCGCCGCCCGAGGTGAGGCTCCGCCGGCCCCGACTGGGCGAGTCCCGGGCGATCGGGGGGCCTCGGGCAGTGCCGGGCGGGCTGGGGGCGCGCTCGGAGCCGCAGGTGCGGGGGACGCTACGGCGAGACGGGCCGCGCCGGCCGAAGTTTCCACGGAAGCTGGGCCCGCTCCCGAAAGGCGATGCCGGGCCCCGCGGGGCCAGGGACGCCGCTGCCCGGCTGCAGGCCCGGGGCAGGAGCCCGGGTGTGGGGCGAGCTACCCCGCCCGGTGCTGGAAGCCCGGGCACGCCGTGCGCCGGGGTGGGGGCGCGGTCATTCGTGACTCAGGGCCCACAGCCCCCTCCCACCGACTCCGTCGCCCTCCAGGGCCAGCTTTGCTGCTTTTCCCTCGGTGGGATCTAGTTTCGGTCCTCCGCAGGTAGGAATCCTGGACGTCTCCCTTTTAAAAATCAGAACAATATTAGCTCCCTGGAAGACCGACACAGCAACTGGCTCTTTAGAGTTTAGAGAATGTAAGAACTCATTAGGTCGTCAAGAATTTCCCTGGGACCCAGTTTTGTTGTACATCCTAAGATGTCCAGCAGGGTCCCTTAGACTTTATTATTCTAGTATACCTTTTAAATTTATTCCTGACGCTCTGCATTACTTTTTTCTCCATCTCAGTCATCCAGTGTCCCCCTCTTGCCCTGGGGTCCATACAGCACAAACCTTCCATTATCGCGATTCCCTAGAGATGAAATTTCCGCCGCAAATGATATAGTCTGGGCCAGCAGGTGGAAGAGTATTGGATAGGATGGAATTTTCCGTCCTTTTTCCAGTGGTAGTTACTTACCTACGGGGAAAATCTTAGGTCTGCTCTTGGACGTCCGCGTTTGAGTTTATGACCAATGTTGCTGATATACTCTCTCTTGGTTGTTTTTACAGTAATTGACCTGGAACCCATTTTCAGAAAAAGAGCTTCTTTCAAAATGATAAAATAATGAAATGAGAAATTTGAACATTTTATCCTTGAATGGAAATCTGAGAATGAAAAGAGCGATTAATCCAAGCCATGTGGTAAAAGCAGGAATTTGAAGAAAATGAAAATGTTTACATTTTTGTGGACATGTGTTTTTCTACCCCTTGTAAGAGGGCACAGTCTTTTCACCTGTGAACCAATTATTGTCCCTAGATGTATGAAAATGGCCTACAACATGACATTTTTCCCTAATCTGATGGGTCATTATGACCAGAATATTGCTGCTGTAGAAATGGAGGTGAGTAGTTCTTCATAACTTTATAGGAAAATAGTTTATGCTCTGTTCTGGAATATACTATAAATATGACTTTTTAAAAAACAGTAAGGGATTCTTTCAGTTGTGTACAAGTCATATTTAGAATAAATCCTTTTGAAAATTAAATTCTGCTACGAATTTGTTTTGTGTAAATTTGTGGCCCTGTTTAGCGGATTTGCTTAATGTAAGGTTCGTTTTGTATAAAGTATAGTTATAAATGATATAGAAATATCTTGCGCCTGGCAAATATTTTGTTTTCCTGAATCAGTTATGGTAGTTCCTTTAATAATGCAAACTCTGGATTTTTTCCTTATTCATTGAACATACAGTCTATATTGTCTGGACTGCATGTATTTTCAAAAGTAGTTGTCATGTTCACTTGGCACAGTTTTCTGAAGTAAACCAATTATTGGAAGATTTGGGGGCTGTAGATGGTGTTTTGCTAAAAACTGACTTTTTTTTAAGGCACTTAAATACTCTTTGTAAGATACTTTTTGAAAGAAACCACATGTCCTGGGAGGAGCAGAGTGATACTAAAGATTGCCTTAGGTGCCTCAGTTACTGGCCACTGGTTTAGAGATATGCAGATTGCTAGGGAGGTGTGGGAAGAAAGGTACCTATAGAGACAGGACCTGTCCTCCTGTACAGATCTGTTAGATTGATAAGTCTCATGAAGGAAAGAAGACAAATGTTCGTGTAGTTTTTCTCCAGAAAAACTGTTCAAGGATGGTGAAGGTTTCTTTTTCCCTCAGATTGTCGCCAAGAGATGAAATCCCTATAATTTTAATATAGACACTACTTTAAAAACTGACCAGACTTGATTTTGCAGCTTCAAGTCTCCTGTTGTTTAGATGAATAATTGTTGGAATGCCTCATTGTGGACTCATGTCCAAAATAGGAGAGCTTTTAAATACTGAATCGATGTGCTTTGAATGGGCATTACAAATTATATTATTGTAATCTTTCAGTGGTCTTTCAAACCAGTGCAAGATGTAATTTTGAACACTGAACAGATGATGCAGTAAGACTTTCATTGATTAATCAGAACTATTTTGATGGTTTACTCTGATTAAAATAAAATATGTAGTGGAGATACCTTCAAGGAATAATTGTCATTCATTCACAGTTCCTCTGATAGTACAGGTTTTATAACTCATGTCTTACAGAATTCCTAAAGTTTTTAAAAATCTGGTTCACTTTCTATATAGTAGCTATATACATTTTAAGTTTGAATGCTAACATCAACCATATAAATATAGATCATTTAGAGTTCCTAGGGGAGATATGCCTATAATGAACTAGTTCCTGTTCTACACATCTTTTGAAAACCAATTTTTTTCTGTGTAAAAAAAAAAAAAAACCCAAAACTTTTTTTTTTTTAATTTACCTAGCTGCTTTTCTAGGTAATTTTGTGTCTGGACATTATCAAGAAGGCATTGTTTTTCTTACCTTTTTTATGTGAGGATATCTTCATTATATTAATCTTCCTTGTACACTAAGCTTCCTCATAGCCTTTCCTATTAAATTTTATTATATAAATCATACTTCAGTAGGGTTAGGATATAAAAGAAGAAAGCCATACAGCATTAATTTAAGTCTACAAAGAATTAAGGTAAATGGGAAGGCAAAATGTCAACCTGAGTCTGACTTTAAATCCCTATATATGGGTCCATGGTATTATGCTTTTATTATTTTTCCATCCTTATTTGTCCTCAGCCAATAGCATTCTCTTAGTTCCTGTATAGAATGTCCAAAATAATTCTATAATTTGAGAGTTTAAGTGACCACAAATATCATGCAGAGCTTCTTCTTTTGTGCCATTGATCCCTTCTCAGAATAAGAGAATTTTAAAATTTAAATAAAATGAGTAGGATTACAAAAGAATCCAATTATGTTGAAATATACTTCTATTTACCAGGTTAAGAACACCTGAATCCTTTATTATATAGGTGAAGAAACTGAAAACCAAAGACATCATTGTTCAGGGTCTGAGCACTATTTGACACAGTCTCTCTGTCAACATGGACCGTAATGGCAAATACTTTTTTTTTTTTTAATCCTCACCCGAGGACATTCGTCCATTCTTTTGTTCAGATAGAGTGGGAGGGAGAGAGAGAGAAACATCGACGTGAAAGGGACACATCGAGTGGTTGCCACCCACACGACCTGACCAGGGCCGGGAACAAACTACACCCGAGGTACGTGCCCTTAGCAGGAACCAAATCCGGGTCTCTCTGGACCACAGGCCAGCGCTCTAACTGCTGAGCCAAACTGGCCAGGGCATAACATTTTTCTTAACCCTTAATCTAAAGGGATAAAAATAAAATATTTCCTAAGATTCAGAATATGATGTGTTAATTTAGTCCTTGCTGCTGCTTTGAAAATTTCAGTTAGATAAAAACTAAACTGGGAGGTATTTTTTTGTTTGTTTGTGTTTTTACCTTTATTTGGCTCTACCTTTTTTTCCCCCTCTCATCTGTGCCTTGAATACAAAGTCTCATTAGAATTTTTACCAGTAAACCAGTGTTTTTCTTACAGATTTTAGAGAGAGGAACAGAGAGAAAGAAAGAAACATCGATGTGAGAGGGAAACATCGATCAGTTGCCTCCTGCATGTACCCTGACCAAGGGTCAAACCCGAAACTGGGGCTTGTAGCCTGATTGGGAACCAAACCCACCCTCTGTGAGCTGCTCCAACCAACGGAGCCACCCAGCCAGGGCTTGTTAGAATTTTTAGATCAAAAATAAAATCTTTAACCTTCCATTGCTCCTCTTTGTGGTCCTAAAGCAATTTTACTAACATGCAAATCCACACAGTCCACTTTGGGGTTAAATTCTTCGCTGTTTTCCTAAAGCAGGAGAAATAAAGGCCTGACTCTAGTGTGGCTCTTCATGTGGGACCCTGCCTTCCTGTTCAGCCTCCCATCTTGCCCCTTCCAGTGTACGTACAGCCAAACCATCCTATTTGTAGTGCTCAAATCCACATTAGTCTTGCTCACTTCTGTACCTTTAAGGCACATAGTACTGCATCCACTGCCTCCTGGGCTCTCTACCTACCTTCTTCACCTGCTCAGTTTCTTCAGATCTCAGTTAAAGCAATAACTGCTTAGTGAAGCCTTTCACCCATGCTTATTTAATCAACTCACTCTTTACACTCTGATAGTGCTTAATACAGGATGGGAGAAAAGTAGGTTTACAGTTGTTCACTTGGAAAATAATATCATAGTTAATGAATAATAACATCAGAATAAACTGTTACATGTATTCACAACTGTAAACCTACTTTTGCCCCACCCTGTATATATGACTGTTCTCATATTTATCATGCTGTGTTGCAATTATTTACATGGCTCTCTCTCTAGATTGTAAGCTTTTTGAGAGCAGACATGGTGTTTATTCATTTCTATCCCTAATGCCCAGTACAGTGCCTCTGAGTGCGGTGGATGCTCAATAAAGGCTGAGTAAAGAAAAAGGTGTTTCCCGTTCTAATAAATCAGCAAAGAGAATTTCTCCCCCAATTCTTACCTTCCACCTTTATCTTCTGTGGTGTCTAAGTAAAACACATTCCTTGCTTTGGCTGGTTTGGCTCAGCAGTTGGAGTGTCATCCTGCAGACCGAAGGGTCTCAGGTTTGATTCCCAGTCAAGGACATGTGTCTGGGTTGCAGGTTCGATCTCCTGCCTCTGTTGGCATCTATGGGGAGGCAGCCAATCAATGTGTCTTTCTCACATGGATGTTTCTCTCTCTCTCTCTACCCCTTCCTTCCATTCTATCTAAAAATTAATGGGAAAATATCCTCCAATGAAGATTAACAATAAACAAAACAAAAAACACATTCCAATATTTTTAGGTGGTTTACATGTCCACTTTCTGCCTGAACCTAGTTCTAATAAAATATATCAGTTGACATCTATGTTCTTTCCCATATTAGTTTGACACATGTATGTTAGAATTTATTTAAAGAATTTTATTTTTAACCATTTGCATTTATATGGAGTGAAGGAGTTCATCTTTTGATTGGGCCATTGTATTATAAATTATGTGTCAGATTTTTTTCAAACATTGTATTTTAGTACTTAAATTTATAGTCCAGACAACTACTAAATTATTACCTGCATATATCTTGACTTTTACTTTTTAAAAAAGTGTTTTTATAGCTTCTCTAAATAATAGATTAGGTTTTACTCCCTCCAACCAAACTAACTGCCTTTGGTTCCTGCAGGTCCCTTTGCATTTTCAGTGTTCACTTAACTAATGTTAGGGTGAGGAGCTAAAGAAATATCTGAAATATCTGATGTTGGCTTTCTTAGCTTCCAGGAATTTCATATAATTCAAGAGATCTAGCTCACTCCTCTTAATGCCTCAGTTTTAATTTTGTATGATGGCTGTCCTGTTTTAGAGACCTTATAGCATTTATGGTCTCTAAATATTGCAGATCTGTGATTATATGAGATAGTTTAGAACAGTGGTTCCCAAAGTTTAGTTCATAGACTAGCAGCTTGTGAACTTGTTAGAAATGTAAGCTCACGAACCCCTTCCAATCTACTGAATCATGGTCTATGAAGATAGAGCCCAGTAAACTGTAGTTTAGCAAGCTGTCCAGGTGTTTCTTATGAATGTTAAATTTTGAGACCCACTGGTTTAGAGCAGGGAATGCAAATTTTTTCTGTAAAGACCCAAATAATAAATACCTTGGCTTTGCAAACCATACAGTCTCAGTCACAGCTATTCAACTCTGCAATTGCAGCAGAAAGCAGCCATAGACAATATGTAAACAAATAAGTGTAGATGTGTTTCAATAAAACTTTATTTATAAAAACAGGCAGTGGGCTGATTTTTTGGCCCACAGGCTATAGTTTGCTGAACCCTGGTTTAAAGTACTTGAAAGTGTTCTTAAGGATTATACATGTACTGTATAGCCCGGGCTGGTTTTGCTCAGCGGTTAGAGCGTTGGCCTGCGGTCTGGAGAGACCCTGGTTCAGTT